TTGAATGTGTAGACACTTGAGCAGAATTGAATTGAGCTAACCCAAAGTCAATTCAATGTACATCTTCTTTATTTCCTTCATAATAGGGTGTTCAAATTATTCATGTTGATACCACATCGGAGCATCATTGTTCAAAATTTTTGTCATGCTGTCCCGGATGATGAGGATGATGATGATGGTCATGATGATGATCATGATGACGAAATGCGACGACAGTGAAGCTCAGTTGATAATTTCTGGGTTGAACTGCCATAGGACTTTGTGCTCGTTACCAAGACTATTGGACATGGGCACAAAGTGAAGAGGAAAAACGCGTTGTAAAGTTCTACACAACTAGAAGATGAAGACTTATTCTATATTTTCATCTGGAGGTAGTGAGTGGAAAGAACTACATGGCGAAGGTAGGCATGCACACTGTTAGCCAAACGAACTATCTGATTTTCAAGAATATGTAAGGTGGACTCTTTTGGGGGGCTCACGTGATGCAATAGTTTTAGGCGCTTCTTCGCTTGACCGAGAGGGTGTGAAGCCAGTCGGTAATTCACGGTGAATCTGAATGGCTAGGAGATTCAGTTCAAGCATACCGCAATCAATTAGGGATGACTTAAGCCCTCATTCAGACAACCTGAATGGAGACTGACAAGAGGAGGGCCAAGTTGTTACATGTAGAGGCTACAATAAGTCCTATCTTTAAATTAGTTAACATGAAACACACAACATCCCGCAACTAGTTTGAGAGGCCTTGATGCTCCGACCGAATGCCATCAATTCATACATAATTCTACAAACGTTTCCTATGTTCCAACTGACGATTCGAGTAAATGTTTAAGTGTGCATCAATGGTTTGTTCATGCATACGGGTCAACCACGTGCCGGGCTGGTTCGTGGTATTCGTTTGAAAGATCCTCGATCTCACTTCCAGAGAAAACTCCAATTTCATACGCGAAATCATTGTCTCAGGACGTGGATTTATACTTCTTTGAAATCGAGTGGGTCACTGCAAACTAGCTATTCTGTTTGAGTAGGTGAATAAGGGGATCAATATGTATAGTGAATCTCGGACGTCATTTGGTTCACCCGAGACCGTTTTCCATATTTTCAGATCCGCATTGGTGATTGCAACGGGAGAAGTCACCTTAATTTTGCGACGAGAGCTATTTGCAGCATCCCGGAATGAGATTCAAATCTTCTGCAACTCTCCTTCTTACGACCACAATTTCCTGCACAGAAGTCTATGTTGCTTTCCCGTAAATTCATTCGCTAGTTGTCTTCCTGGGGATTCACACGAATCGGTCTCCACCTTCCTGAGATAACTGCTTTTGAATGAAGACCCGAAACGTCGTACGTTATTCACTTCCCTTGGCCACGTCACATAGCTATCCTGCAAAACTACTCGAACATTAACATGACAAAGATCCTGTGAGATGCGAGGGTTTCCGCTTTGCAGAATGCGGTAAATTACCGACGGGCCAGACATTTGTGTACGAAGTTTTATCATCCTGGTAAAATGTTAGATTACATGTACGTTCAGAGCCAGAAATCCACGGTTTGCAATAAACTCGAAGGAGGGAGAATAACATAATTAACGTTGACAAGAATAGAACCATTCAGCAAATGTTAATCCATATTTCGTACGGTGATTGAAGCCGGAAGCGCTGTAACATCTTTTCCACCCTAACTGAGGCTCACTTGCACTGTGAATCTGAATAAATGAAGACTCGATTACCTGGTTGGTGTTCGGAACACTTTACCACTCTTTGCTCCGCAAACACATATGTTTCACAGGCTTTCAAGAACAGAGATACTTGTATGTAATGAACAAAAGCCGCTCGCATTACCCTGAAAGAGAGGAAATGTGAATGAAAACGGCTACTGTTGGTTTCGAAAGAGTAGGTCTGTTTGGGACAATTTCAAACCTACATTCGAGAATCTTAAAAATCTCGCTCCTCTTGAAATGCATCATCTTCATGGTGTATCATAACGTCACAGCGTATGTCTCGGTATCTTCAGAGAAAAAAATCCAATGGGTTGTTAATCGAGTTATCATATAGTTAAAGGACGAGCGTTTTAATCTTGAGTTTTCAAAATGGATGACGGATTGAGACCACAATGAACGTCACGCGGTTTCCTCTCGTAGCATATATCTGATCTTTGGTTGAAACATGTCCTGTCACCGAAAAAAGAATTGCCCATAGCAACAAAGATTTGTGGTTCACGTCACCACTGAATTGCATCGCGTCACCTAACTTTGTGAACTGTTTCATGGCCGAAACTCTGTACAACGTAGGTGACAGGAGACAGAGGATGACGTCAGATGGTGCAAGGTGGAGTAATCTGCTCGAGCTATTTAATGGTGTATCCGATGCGTGAATTATTAAAAAGATTGCATAAGTAAGCTTAATTTTTCGCGTTGCCAAAAAAAGCGATAACCGCAATACCTTTATATCATTCTGATACTTTTTTCGATCACCGACACGGAAAATCAGCCGACATCCACGTCTGGGTACTATAATTGATTATATCATTATGATACTTTTTTCGATCACCGACACGGATAAAATGTTGCTTCCTAAAAGTCAAGGTAAAATCAGTCGACATCCACATCTGGGTACTATAATTGGTCTCCTCATTCATCTACGGTTAACGTTTTGGAAGCGATCGACGCAAACCTGCAAGATTCTCTCATATGCGCAAAAACGATAAGTAAACGTCCACGTAGGTTTTCTCCCATATTGTCTTGGAACACAGTCCATTTAATGCTTTCTTATTACCGGGAACACCGGTCTTCATAGCCGCTCGATAGCCTAGTGCGCTCAGTCAAAAAGGGAAACGTCAATGAGCGTGCGAATCAGCTGGCCTATTTCTCACCGACGCGTACAATTCTGTCATTTGCAGCCAAAAGCGATCTCTTTATAAAGTTTACGCCGAACGTTCTAGGCGGGTGAAGTGATGAACAACCAATTAAATCTGTCTGAGCGAAACGGTTGTTGCATTGGCACTTTTGTAGTCCTGCTACTTTCGGAGCTTGTTCACCTAATATCTTCTAAATGAAGTTGATTAGTATGAGTAGTGAGGATGAGTAATCGGCTCACGCTATTCTCAGGCTAGTCTAATGCAAGAGAAATCAGCGGTATGATTTCACAAGTAAGTATGCTTTGTCACAATGTTTTCCAACAACAACTTCCCCAAAAGCGATAACAAGTGCACATGTTTACCAGGTTCCTCGAAGTAATGCTGCACTTGGAAACCGGATACACTGGAATGCACAAACCATGCCTCACAATTTATCGAGAAAATGACAGTGGTTAAATTCTGTCTGGAATTGTTTTTTTTTCATTTGACTAACCATCCAAATTCTATCGTGGCTACCCACTGTTAGAACAAGGCCGATTTTCGCAGCTCAAATCTCCGATAGTTTGTGCGGTAGTTGAAGTGTGACACGAAAATAATTAGTACCCAAATAGCATTGTGATTACTTATCTTATTGCAATCACCACTGGTGAGCTAATAATATTGAAATAATCAAGTGTAATTGAGGGAACATGTACGACTATATATTCTAATCGATTCTCATATCCATCCACTTAAATATGGTACGCAGAGTGTAGTGGTTCTTGTGGTATTTCGGTGCAGAGGGCAGCAAATCCCCATGTAATTATTCTCATCGAGCGATATATTCACGTCTGGATACGAGATATTCTCGTATGAAATAGTGGTCCCTTCCAGAACGTTGGCCAAATTCCACAAATGAACCCCATTATGTGACCCATCCTCTGAGTCAGTGGTAAGCATAACCGACTCTTTAATGCACACCCGAAATTTGATGGAAACCTAGATTGAACTCTTTCGTGAATTCTCGTTCGACAATGACGGTATTCATTCAGGGACACGACTCCCTTTGTGTTGAGAAGAAATCAAACTTGGAATGATGCAAATCATGTCGGGTGGTCAATGTTACCGACGTTTTTTATTCAGGTTGCCTGGATGAGTGTTCGGAGGTGTAGGCACCTGGGAATGATTGCGGTGAGCTAGCAGTACTTTATTCACACTAACTATATTCTTTTCTTCACAGTAAACCTTTCAGCAAGATACCTGTTTTCATGATGAGGACGATGATGGTGATGATGATGATATGTCATGACGACGAAGCTCAATTGGTTGCGTTGTGTTGGGCGTGCCACAACAAGGTTGAATAAGAAGTACGTTTGATGAGTGTCAGACATTAGTTAACTTTCTGGTCGTAATCGGGACCTTTGGACATGGACACAAATTGAAAACATGGTGCTGGAAATGTAATTTCGTCTTATGGCAGTAATTCATGGAGGTGGGAGCAGCATGGTGGGCATCAGCGTATCTATTATCAGCCAAGTAAATTGTTTGATCTTCGCAAATTTGCAGACTCAACTCTTCCTGAACATCCGTGAAATGCATTAGGTGTATACCTACAGGGCTTGGCAATAAAGACTAGCTTGTCGAACTCACTTCTATTACTGGCCCAACTTAATCATTCTACCAGCAATCAATAAGGAGCTTTGATGAAGAAAACTTTCGCTAAATGATTGAAAGTCCCCTCTGAGAGGTGAACCCTGGAAAAGCCCGTCAATCCGTGACCTGTGATTGAAGGAAGATTAGCGCTATATCCATACCAACTGGTAGCGAATTGCACAAGTGCTCAGCAGTTCTTGGTCTAACTTTCAATTTGTTTTTCACCAGACTGATCTAGTGGGGGGTTGTCTAATAAATATCAAAAGATTACTTGAAATCTAGGTTTGAAATTTTTCGCATCCGTACTAAGAATGAGTGGACGAAAAGTTACCATCGTTTGAAATGTTCTCCAGTTTGCGCCAGATTACTTTGTGGATTTTTGTTCTGACCTACTGAAAACTTGCAAATTTCTAGATGCTCACTTTTACTATGGTTTTTAATACAAAAAGCCGTATCAATTCCCCATTGACCAAATTTATCAACAAGAGTAATTTTGTTGCCAGCCGCTATGTAAAACCATTGTGCAGCCTCAGTTAACTTCTCATTACGCTCCGTGCTCAACGGAATGATCGCCGTTTATCCTAGAAAAAACAAATAATAAAGTTGCACACATTGTTGAAAAGCCCCACTGCAAATGAACAGCCATTGGGCAAGGGGATCGAAATCGCCGATCATAACCTGATAAGCATAATGTTTGTAACGCACACCTATCAAATTTTTGGCGGACAGCTCTTGCAAACAGTCGCCATATATAGGTGTAAGGCGATGTTCGATTTACTGGAGGCGCATATTATAAAATTCCAGACACATGGAACTTTAAATATACCTGGATATGATGCATCGTTATTGGCTTCTTATTGCGGTCATGTTCTGCATCTATCTTGTTGCCTGTTAGGAGGCAATCCGTGCCCAAAATTTTTCATCAATATTGAACGACAAACTGTCAAAGAATTGGCTGGCTCCGACTCCTGAAAAATATATCGAGTGCAAGTATGTTCCGGTTGCTTTTTCATTGCCTTGAGTCTCAATTTATTCCCAAAGTCCACACAAAAGTGCGTTCAAATTGGAAATCTGCACTACTGTCTCCCAATCGGTTGTGTCCTATGCGATTTCCTACATGGCTTTGATCTTTCACATGAAAAGAATAGAAGACAAAACTAGTGGACACATTTAGTGACCTGTGTTTGTTTTCGACAGTATTACAAGTTCCCGTACGACATTTGGCTTTGGGTGTGCCGCTTCCTGCGTCCTATTCAACTCAAACTCACTAAGGTGCATACCGTAGGCCAACTTATTCGGAGACAAAAATCGTCACGCATTAGCTTTTCATGTTGCGTTATGTTGAGTGAAAGCACTGCCTGCGAGCTGAAAAAAATTGAGGAGTTTGATGATCCTGAAGCCACCACCAATCATCGAAGCCTGCTTTGTAGCGTCATCGCATTGCAGAAACGATTCCGGACTCCGCAACCAGGTCTCAGAAATCTCAATAAAGGACTGTGAGTTAGCTACGAGTTTTGTGGTCAACCCGAACACATCCTTTCCAGGAATGATGAGCAACGTGAGCAAATAATTCTATACTATTTCTCTGGTGTAGAAACGAACGACAGAAACGACTGTGTTATTATCGAACTCAAGGGGTACCAAAATCATAGGGATCCTGTACGCATGTTGTCATTCTGACACTCAACAAAATGTGAAGTTGTGGTTCATATATCCCCTGCCAGACTGGAAACCCGCTTCCTGTACTTGGGACCTGTCCTCAAATTCCTGCGAGAAACGAAAGAATGTAGGCTCAGGAGACATTTGAGTCACAACGAAGATCACTCGGAGATAGCTAAACTCATTTTGGGCTCTATCGAGTCAACTGAGCGTATTCAGCGGCAGCTTTTTCCTCAGGAGTAGCAAATAAGCTGAGGGAACAACGAGGGGTTATCTTACCGCCATTTTAAACATCGTGATTTATCTTTGGTAAAGACCATTAGCTTGATGAGACTTGAAGAATGTAATGCAACCATTTATTACTAAAACCTAAGCATGTTCCACATTCAGTGAGAAGCTGCATTTGGTCATTAGTTGTTTTAAATTTTTAATCTAATAGTTATTCATGTTTTTCAGAGATTTCATGGCCCATGGAAGACTTCTTTTGGGCAGGCATGTTGAGAGCCTAACCCAAGATTTTCTTGCTTCCTCCAGACGCTGTTTTCTTATCCGAACAACCAACTATTCGTTGGGTGATATTCTATCCTCTATCTGGAGGAAAGCTCGTCCCAACTTCGGAGGTATTAGGAGAGTGTCCGAGATCCAGTACTTGCATCACGTTTGCTGCACAATTCCGCAAGCGTAATGACACAGCATTTTGCAGACAGGACTATCCAGTAGAAGTAGAAGCGGAAATCACCTTTTCCGAGAGGAAGGTCAGCAACAAACAGGTGTCTAACCCTTGTTCACACGGGAGTTTCTGAGCGAGCGACGTCACACAGCTAATGTCCATGTGGTCTGCCTGTGTCATGTTTTGGTGTGCGTTGGTACATTGAGCAGGGAGATTGACTGAGGATCCAATATTTTTAAAGAAGTTGCAAAAACGTGCCTGTCAAGTCATTCACATGTTGAGACCTAACCCAAGATTTTCTTGCTTCCTCCAGACGCTGTTTTCTTATCCGAACAACCAACTATTCGTTGGGTGATATTCTATCCTCTATCTGGAGGAAAGCTCGTCCCAACTTCGGAGGTATTAGGAGAGTGTCCGAGATCCAGTACTTGCATCACGTTTGCTGCACAATTCCGCAAGCGTAATGACACAGCATTTTGCAGACAGGACTATCCAGTAGAAGTAGAAGCGGAAATCACCTTTTCCGAGAGGAAGGTCAGCAACAAACAGGTGTCTAACCCTTGTTCACACGGGAGTTTCTGAGCGAGCGACGTCACACAGCTAATGTCCATGTGGTCTGCCTGTGTCATGTTTTGGTGTGCGTTGGTACATTGAGCAGGGAGATTGACTGAGGATCCAATATTTTTAAAGAAGTTGCAAAAACGTGCCTGTCAAGTCATTCAATGAGAAGCCCTTCGGCTCGTTGGTCTAGAACAAAAACCAATCCACTGGAACAAGCGGCAGCAGCTTATGGATCACCAGAGACGCGCAAGTTGAAGCAACCTTGGTAGCAGCTCGAATTTGAATTTCGGGAAGCTCATAAAGCGACTTCAGCGAACAGGCATACCGTGCGGCTTGTTTCAGGTTGACAGACAAACTGAAGAATGTTTTCGGAGGGTCTAAGGCTGTGGCGACCGTGCTGACCGCACATATTGCAGTGACGACAATGGAAGGCGAAGGAGGAAATTGGAAATGCTGGATCTACGAATGAAGGAGACATTTAGCGGTAGCCTGTTTTCGCTTATTCAACCTGCGGTATATAGAAGACAAGACAAGAAACACAAGGGGACTATTATCTGTTCGTCCGATGACTAATCCAACCTCAAACATGAACAGGAATATTGGAGAGCTGTGCGCAGTCGAGTGATAATAAATAAGTTACCCTCAACTCTCCCTACGCACAACTATTTTTAGAGGGCTTTCACAGAGAACTAGAAGTGCATTTTCAAGCTAAATAGCCGGCACATAATTTCCTCCTTTTCAATGCAAAAATGACTAAGTCTGTTCGTTATTCACAATGTTGTGGTAAAAGCATCCTCGGGGGCATATCTCGAACCCATTCAATGAGGGGCTAATGTGATACGAATGAAAGAAATTTGTCTAATTTGCTCGTCACAAAGAAACGCGAACAGGCCGTGCGGCTTGTTTCAGGTTGACAGACAAACTGAAGAATGTTTTCGGAGGGTCTAAGGCTGTGGCGACCGTGCTGACCGCACATATTGCAGTGACGACAATGGAAGGCGAAGGAGGAAATTGGAAATGCTGGATCTACGAATGAAGGAGACATTTAGCGGTAGCCTGTTTTCGCTTATTCAACCTGCGGTATATAGAAGACAAGACAAGAAACACAAGGGGACTATTATCTGTTCGTCCGATGACTAATCCAACCTCAAACATGAACAGGAATATTGGAGAGCTGTGCGCAGTCGAGTGATAATAAATAAGTTACCCTCAACTCTCCCTACGCACAACTATTTTTAGAGGGCTTTCACAGAGAACTAGAAGTGCATTTTCAAGCTAAATAGCCGGCACATAATTTCCTCCTTTTCAATGCAAAAATGACTAAGTCTGTTCGTTATTCACAATGTTGTGGTAAAAGCATCCTCGGGGGCATATCTCGAACCCATTCAATGAGGGGCTAATGTGATACGAATGAAAGAAATTTGTCTAATTTGCTCGTCACAAAGAAACTGATAATCTTCATGCAGCGAAATTGTAATGATAATAAATTTGGATTTCACACATTCATGACGAATTTAGATGTTTCAGTTTCCTGCGAAAATTCCCTTCAAACCAGGTTCCCGATTGGGGTTCGAGATTTAGCTAATCTCACCACTGACTTGAAAACTTGGCTTTCGCTTGAAAACGGTATTAATTGAAAGACATTTGTTGCCCAATCGACTAACATGCAAGCCACTGTATGAGGAGGTGCTAATGAAATCTTCTACTGGTGGCGTTTGTGTACCCACATAAATAAAACTATTACCTTTTACACAGAATTTCTGTCTTTTATTTTATTTACTCGCGGGCACCATTGCAGAATCTCTACATCATAGCTGCTTTAAAGATCGTATGCAAACACTATCGAAAGCGTGACACAGGGTGTACCCATCCTCTTGAACATTTTTTGGGCACCGAACCCGGGGACCAACGCAAAACAGAATTTACGAGTTTTCATTATTTTCTATTCGATATACATTTCAATTTCTCAAAGAAACATACTGAGACTATTCATTTCCTTATTACAGAAATCCGTAAAAGACCAATTGTTCAACGACTGCGAGCAATATGTCTACAACGGCGTAATAAGTGATCACCTTGGGAAGGTATGTCCGTGTTCCGGTGCGCAGCCACCAAATGAATTTTCCCATCAACACACAACTTGCAAGTAAGAGGTTCAGCTTTACTATATTACAGAATAGTGAATTAACTTGAGCGAACACTGGACGTAAGATCATAGAGAAATCTTAGCAGTCCTCGACCGTGTTTAAACTTTGCTTGCGGCCCATCGGGTGGGTCTCTGTGTATAAATGATTTTTCGAAGCGTAGTTAGTGAGGAAATAGTGAGCAGATTATAGAGTTCAACTTTTTGCTAAACTGCAAACCTATTGTTACTATGAGCATAATAATTGTTGAAAACACCACTGTCACAGGAATGATTGATCATGAAATTTTATCTGTTTAAGGGGGACATTGGGAAAATTTTCGGCAAAATATGGAAGGTCGTAATAAACTTGAGAGAGAAGGGAAGAAGTTTATGAAAAGTGATATTTCACGGAAGTTCACATTGTTGATGCACTTGCTAATCGCAGGCAGAACACCAGTTTTCCATGTTCCCGTTCTGGATTTACGAAATGTGTGCTCAGTCTGTACATAAGCACTTAAAGTAGACCTCTCGGAGGTAAGCCAGGAAAATTGCTTCACCCTATGGGAAATCCAGCTTGTCAATTTCAGACTACGGGTTAATATTATAGCATAAGCATCAATCCCAAATGTGCTTTCAGATTAATCAATTCTTTGAAATGGATGTTTCTGCACATATTGGTACTTCCTGCAAACCGATCTATTTCACTCGCAGTAGGTATGAAAATATGCGAATAATCCGAGTTCACTTGATTAAACCCAAGATTGGATACCCAACTCTACCGAGTTGTCCACCTACTTAAACATAATTAATAGTTTATGGGTGAGCAGGCTGAAATAACGATTCATGGCGCACCAAAATTGCGACCTCTTATTACATACGCGGGATCCAGGAACTCCTGCCCAGACGGAAGATTTGCTCCCTCAAAACAAGAGTTTTTTTCTGACAGCTGGCCACAATGAAAAAACTCATAACCACGAAGTAACCCGTCATTTTGGTGACTTATAACCACGACCCACTCCTACAAAACATCCAAAAATTTTAAGAAACCCAGGTTTGAACCTGGAGAACGTTTGTGTATTTTTTCATGTGACGTTATTCATTCGGGTCCTTGATCACTTAGCATTGAATACAAGTCGGTTTTGGGATGATGCTGCCTGGTGAATGCATGGAGATGCAGACACCTCAGAATGATTGCAGCGAGCTGCCGCTAAGTCCCTTTACTGTCTATCTTTATTTTTTACCACAATAAGGCTTAAAATAAATCATGGTTACATACGCGGATCCAGGAACTCCTGCCCAGACGGAAGATTTGCTCCCTCAAAACAAGAGTTTTTTTCTGACAGCTGGCCACAATGAAAAAACTCATAACCACGAAGTAACCCGTCATTTTGGTGACTTATAACCACGACCCACTCCTACAAAACATCCAAAAATTTTAAGAAACCCAGGTTTGAACCTGGAGAACGTTTGTGTATTTTTTCATGTGACGTTATTCATTCGGGTCCTTGATCACTTAGCATTGAATACAAGTCGGTTTTGGGATGATGCTGCCTGGTGAATGCATGGAGATGCAGACACCTCAGAATGATTGCAGCGAGCTGCCGCTAAGTCCCTTTACTGTCTATCTTTATTTTTTACCACAATAAGGCTTAAAATAAATCATGGTTGTGCGGGAGCGGAGCATCCGTGCTCCGCGATGTACCCGATACCATGCTGTCATATAGATGATAAGGATGATGAAGACAGTTATGATAATAATGATGTGTGACGGCGACGAAACCCGATTTGCTTTGTTGGGCGTACTACATCAAGGTTAAATCCTGGTTGGACGCATGGTGAATGACATATACTTGGTAACGTTCAGATCATAATCAAGCATAGTGTATACGGGCACAAAGCGAAAACAATCAAACCCGAGAGGAATATTAACACACAGTTTTGTTTTTCAACGAGAGTACCTAATTGACTAGAGTTAACACAACTAAAATATTTAACACCTCTACCGGAACTCAGCTGAACTCTTCATACTACCAACAACCTACAAGTAGATTACAGGGGAATTATTTTCAAAAGATGACTGAATGTTCGTTCTCAGAAGTCATCGCTGAAAGAGCCCGTCAACACGTGACTATGTGATTTATTTTCTTTGATTGAAGGATGGTTGGTGCTATATCCAAGTAAAAGCTAATTGCAGGTCTGGTTGGCAGTTCTTCGCCCAACTATTACCTGGTTGTTCGGTGGGCGAATTAAAGAGCAACAGCGAGAACGATCCAATGGGGATTTCCCCTAATAAAATGGAAGAGGTAATTTGTAACCCAGCATTGGAATTCTATGTATCAGTACTAAGAACGTGGGGATGGAAAGGATCCTTTTGAAAGTTTCAGCACATCAGATATTTAGGCATGGATAACATTCCCCGATTTCACACACTATGCCTTCGTGTACCAAATGGGTTTCGAAATCCCCACATTCGTAATCCCATTTGAATTCGGGCATTTCTCGGCATGTAACGGTAAAGTCCGATTATTATTATTGAAAAGTAATCGATCATCCAATACCACCTCAGCGAGATTACCTGATTCGTTAGGGTGTTTATAAATCTACCTTTCTTCGCCGTGAACCATTTCAGTACGAAACAGACACATATGTCGACGTCGGGTGGTTGAACCCGATGCTCAACATCATACGTTCTAAGACGCTGGGCTGACTGACTATTTCAGCCTCCAGAATTGCTTACCTCTCCACCATCCCCTTTACTGCGAACTCTGTGTGGTTTGGTGTCGGAAGTTTTCCACCGTTCAATATTACGTGGATTTATTAAGCCTACATTCCCTCTGAAGATGAGCGTTGAGAATATAATAATAGAGGACTTATATTCTCTGGAATTCAAGAAGCATACACCAAGAGAGTACCTAATTGACTAGAGTTAACACAACTAAAATATTTAACACCTCTACCGGAACTCAGCTGAACTCTTCATACTACCAACAACCTACAAGTAGATTACAGGGGAATTATTTTCAAAAGATGACTGAATGTTCGTTCTCAGAAGTCATCGCTGAAAGAGCCCGTCAACACGTGACTATGTGATTTATTTTCTTTGATTGAAGGATGGTTGGTGCTATATCCAAGTAAAAGCTAATTGCAGGTCTGGTTGGCAGTTCTTCGCCCAACTATTACCTGGTTGTTCGGTGGGCGAATTAAAGAGCAACAGCGAGAACGATCCAATGGGGATTTCCCCTAATAAAATGGAAGAGGTAATTTGTAACCCAGCATTGGAATTCTATGTATCAGTACTAAGAACGTGGGGATGGAAAGGATCCTTTTGAAAGTTTCAGCACATCAGATATTTAGGCATGGATAACATTCCCCGATTTCACACACTATGCCTTCGTGTACCAAATGGGTTTCGAAATCCCCACATTCGTAATCCCATTTGAATTCGGGCATTTCTCGGCATGTAACGGTAAAGTCCGATTATTATTATTGAAAAGTAATCGATCATCCAATACCACCTCAGCGAGATTACCTGATTCGTTAGGGTGTTTATAAATCTACCTTTCTTCGCCGTGAACCATTTCAGTACGAAACAGACACATATGTCGACGTCGGGTGGTTGAACCCGATGCTCAACATCATACGTTCTAAGACGCTGGGCTGACTGACTATTTCAGCCTCCAGAATTGCTTACCTCTCCACCATCCCCTTTACTGCGAACTCTGTGTGGTTTGGTGTCGGAAGTTTTCCACCGTTCAATATTACGTGGATTTATTAAGCCTACATTCCCTCTGAAGATGAGCGTTGAGAATATAATAATAGAGGACTTATATTCTCTGGAATTCAAGAAGCATACACCAAGGAAATTTGTTGACGTCAACGTCCTAGTATTTTCATTTCACTGCAGGCTTTTATTCAAAAAGGACTCCCAAAATGAGGTCAGTAAACAAAATTACAGTCAAACCGAATAAGACTACCTGCGAAAGTTTTTGCCGTGAAAACGTGCGGACACGCATGCTCTATCTGTAGCACCGGCTCTTTCGGACGTGCCTCTGCGACGGTGACGTGATGGTTGGCGGTGCCGTGATTATGCCGATGAGTAGAAGGCTAGTTCACGAAGTGGCCTCATTCCGTGACCACGGCGAACAAAATTTGACTAGCCCTGTACCATAAAACCAACCGATTATAGATGCTAGTGCTCTGTGGGTGCGTCCTGCAAATCCTCCGGCAACGGGAACTAGTGGGATTGACCGCTCTTTAGAATGTTGCAACACCTGTTTTCTCACAATCCGGCCCTAACTAGGTGCATTTGCCGCATTTTGCAAGCGTATGAAGGAGAAATATCTTTGTTGATGATGCAGGCCTTAATGAGTTCGTCTCTGAAGTCAGTCAGAATCTGGAGGCGTCATTCAATTCTTCGTCTGGGAGTCTCGTGTGTTAGCGGTGCACCAAAGCGCCGGAATAAGTGGATAGTTGACTGAGATAATGAAACGATGAATGAAAAAAGTACCTGAATGCCTCATACTGGTCCAGAGGAACTAGATGCTGTACGTTTTTAAGAGCTTTCCAACTCTTGAACTGAGCAGCGCTTTGAACCCACATTCACGTTCAGCGCAAAAGAAGAAATCGACAAAATGACTTAAGGGAGGATGATAAGCAGATGTCGTACTGGGTCGTTTGAAGAGATAAATATACAACTTTCCGAACAGACCTCAACGTACTGTCATTGGTGTGAACGCATAAGTATCTTCCCACGTCATTCGTTGCCGACAGTAGAGAACACCTATGACTATAGTACTCACCGAAGCAATCTAACCCAGGTTTATAAAAAGGAGCTTAAGTGCCAGTTGGTTATTCTCACCCGCCCCTCTGGATGAGATCATGGCAAGTCCCCATTACTTGTCTAATTGCGCCATCTGACACCTGGAAGTAGGTATCAAGCATTCCCGTATTCTAGTTCTACCATTTCTCGCGTCAGAGTTTTCTATACAATTCCAAGTTATTTCCCGCTATCCTCGCTAAACGTCTCCCGTGTTGAATAGTATTCTACCAGTTAGGTTACATGCTTCGAAATTTCTTCTATTCACGTCTCATTTTCTCCGTTTTTCAATTTCTTCTCAGTTAGCAGAGTACATACTACATGTGTGGTTATCTGTCTTGAGCCGAAGTGGATTCGCTTGAAGTCCAGAGGACATTTTTTTGAAACGATACTCTGATTGCCAAGCTAAAATGCACTTCTAACATGGCTTAGTTGACCAAGAAATGCCTTAAAAGCCGTCTGATAACTTTGGTTCCGCAAAGTTCTTACAGTTGTTCTCTAAGTTTGTGATCAGTCGCATCACCTTTTTCATGCCTTTCTTCGACGAATTTCTGTCTCTGGTCAAAAGCGTCTCAACGCTGTACAATTTGGAGTCAATGATGATAAAGTTTCTTCCCGATCATTAGTTTCTGGATTCCATGGCTACAAATGTCCTTGCTATCGGTAGACATTTAGTACGACTCGTTCAGGACGACTCGATTCCAACCCAAAAATTCTGCCTTGATGCTTACCTCGTTAGGTTGAGGATTTGCTATCTGTTTCAATCGCAGCTCAGCGATTTGGTCCTGCTTCCTCACGTAAGTTAACAAATTGCACGGTTTTAATTGGCCCATTTAGATCCAGGTTTGTTTGCTTCGAATTATCACACACAAAAATCAAGGTTTGGAATTCACCCATTCATCTTCCGGTCTGCAGTCGCGCGTCTCAACCGCTGAATTATTTCAAACTGTAAATCCTTATCTTGGTCAGTACGAAAGAGTTATTTTCTTGCTATTTGCTCTGGCCGCTATACCCGTATTGTCCACGTGAAGATGCCATCTTCTTCGCCTCTGCGCATTACGAGAGTTCGTATTGTAAAAATAACAAATAAAAATAAGCACTCAGGCGTAGTACCGTGCCACACGAAGGAAGTTGGATTGTTTAAATACTTCAGATTCCCGCACAGGAGCAGTCGAAATTTCAGCGTTGAACTCGAACTGAGGACTCCCAAACAGTAAGTTCGCGCTCTCACCACTGAGGTATCTCGAGCTCTGTAGTGACATTCCTCTCAGTCTTCGGTTTTCGTTGTGAATATGAAAACCTAAGGGTGAACTGGGGATGTAACTCGCATCTGTCACTGTCTTAGCACGACAAATCCGGGCGAACCATGAAATGTTTAGTATCTTGCGTCTTGCTCACTATTACGTCTCCCATTTATTGGACACCGATGGGCGTCAATCGCGTTAATTAACCTGAAACTTGAGGAAACAAAATGTCAATTCACATCTTGCCTGTGAACGCAATTCCGATTGGGCGAAATACCGTAATACTGCGTACGGTTTTCTAGCCATCTTCGGGCAAACGATGAGATGTCATGTACTTTCCTTCCTTCTCGACCTTGCATCTTCTATTTTGAATATCGAAAACGGTCATTCACGTTGGTTAACCTACAGCAAAAAGAAATGAAATGGCTATTCACATTTCTCTTATCTAGGGGATTTTGGTTGGGTCAGCCATCATATTCTTGCGTGAAGTCATATAGCAACTCTCTGGTGCTGCGACGTTTATATTTAGGACACAAAGAGCAACAGGAATAATTTGCGTACCCTGATGAATGGACCATTCCAACATTGGATGCTATGCATGAATGTAGTTTAATTGACAATCTTTTTGGAGGCGACCAGAATACACGACAAATTCATCTGGATTCATTTGAGTCTTCGTTAAAATGAAGTTAATTTTCATATGAGAGTATAACTATTTGAAAGGTAGTTTCTTTAAAGTAACCTTAAGATACCAGGAAACTGCGGCGAACCTAGAACTTCATTAAACATATTCAGCAGAAAATCTACGCCAGCCAATCATTCAGTCAATTCAGCGGATGCCGGTGAGTGTTCACGCAAGCCATAGAAGCACGACCGAATGTGATCGTGGCGATAGCCTGCCCCGAACGATCGTTATATTCTATGTAAGCGAACGAGTCAGATTGTAAATGGGATAGGGGTGTTGGGTGAATTCCTAGACTCCGGTGTTTTGCTTGTGACTCTCAGGGTGCCGGTAAATTATCCAGGTAAAACGCATTACCTACAATGGAAGAAAATGCTAACGCCAAGGACTGCCGACTACTGATCATATGAACAAACAAGAAGAAAATTTACCGGGACGAGAAATCCGTTGTCCTCGGGTTGCTTATCGCCAGTGACTTGCGTTAAGTAGAACCACTTACCAGCTGGCGAAGGACGATGTATTTCGGTATTTTGGTAGTAGTCTTCACCCACTGGAGCCGATCTAACCCGGCTCCAAACAGGGTCTTGTTAAGTGCGGGGTAGTACTGTTTGAATGCTGTTTTCCACATTTCACACAAAAAAATCCATCGTGGTCTGTGAGTTGACAGCTCTAGTCAACCACCCAAGAATTTTTAGTTTGGAATGATTTTGAACCTGATATCCCATCGGCGGATCTACTCGATGGCGTTAATTAATTTTCTTTATATTCATCTGCAAATTCCCATCAACCCTATGTTTTATCTGAACGTCAAATTGTATACCTATCTACTGGAACCCAGAAAGGGGAGACGGGTAGGAAGCCACTGAAAGGTATTCAGCAAACGTTTATGTGAACGGTCGTTCCGAGAACAATCGTACAGGTTTTGTTGTGCATGGGTTATGTGGCGAAATAATCTGTTGTATTGCTCTGTGTTGTATTGGTCTGTTTTTTTGGCACATATTCTTCCTCTGTTGATTGGCCTCCCCATTGTGTTGATTGCTGTGCTGCAAATAAAACGTCTGTAAAAAGAATGGATAAGTGTTCTGAATAAGATAAGTCCAGCTCGGATTTTGTCCCGTTTTACGTGCATAAACGTAGACAAGTTGATGAATCCAGTATAACAACGGCATTCTGCCAGTCTGCTCATATTGCAACTGCGGTAAAAGACGATTCCAAACGATTGGTTACCAGTCTGATTGTTAGACGAACAGACACCTTCGCACTGTCTGGAGCTAACTATTCGATTGAGTTGTGACGGATTGCTTGAGTAATTGTTCAAAGTCTATGGAGCTGATTTTGACAACGTTTCGATTGTCCGGTTGGAGTGAACAAGATACAAATCGGAATCAAAGGGGGGATTCGAGACACGACCCGAAAACTGTCCTACGTGTTTCAGTTGGCTGGTCTATTTTACTCGCCCTGTGCATCATTCGTGCAATAGTAGCTCACAAGAGTATTTTGCCAGTCTCGTCTGAATGCGGCTGCGAAAAAGACGACTGATTTTCCAATCGACATGTGTTGTCGCTTGGCGTTTCACTGTTGGGTCACTGTTGGTTTCGTTGCTTCTCTGGTAATCGGTCTCTCCGTTATGTTTTTTGTAGCCTGATGATCCCGGCGGAACCTTACAAGGGGAGCGATTAATTCTTGTTTGCTTCAATTTCATAGAGTTTATCTCGGGATCGTTCATCGGAGTTATGTTTGTTGACAGCCTTCGTTACATAACGCCCACAGGGAAAATCCAGTTCCAGGAGGGCGAAACATTTGCTGCGTTTGTGTTGCAAGAAATCTAGTAAATACAAGGTCTCTCTTTTCAATCACGTCTCTCCCTTCACTTACATTGAGAGGGAATGTAGACTGAATGAATCGTGTATAGGGAAATTCAGATTACTGAAGCGTACTCCAGAATGCCAGAAATCTTCTGAGACCGTCTGATCACACCGAGAACGCAATAGAGATGACTTCAGAAAAATCAGCTAAGCCAGCTGCTGATTGTCGCTCAAGTAATCAGTCAGATCAGGGTCTTATCACCCATGATATTGTGCATTGGGTTTATCACCCACCGGTGACATTCTCATCTGCTTCGTACTGGAGAGATTGATCCCGTAGAAATTACATATATAAACACCCTGACGGATCAGGTAAACCAAATGAGATGGTATTGTGATAACCAGCTACTTTTCTCAAAAAATAATCTCCCAAATTTAAATGGCTCTTGGTATTCTGATTATGGGAACTTCAAAATCCATTGCGGAAATTTTCAAAAGAACCTTCTACGCCCACCTTCCATTCCGTCCTTTCTGAAATTTCACATGAAAATTTTCGTTGTTCAGACCAGAGAGTCGCAGGTAGCATGGATACAGCTCATCCCAATGATGAAGACCTCGGTGGTGTTCATTTGTGTAATTTTGGCCCCAACCATGAAAGTGACTCTAAATTTATTCGAGAAAGCCTTGTCCCTGGACGAGAATGTATCATTAGTTGAGCACGGTGAGAGCTTGTGCGTCCGTAGCTCTGGGTAGAGAACATCAACGAAAGCACTAAAAACCGCTTATCATGTTGAAGCAGAATAATATGGTATCAACCTGGGTTTTCAGTTTTCTACGCCACCCACCTTAAGCTAGATTCTTTCAACATTTCCAGATCTACGTTCGTGATTGCAACGAGATAAGTTATCACAATTCAAGTTGAGTACAAATTTGTTTGATGTTGCATCGGTCAAGTGTCGCATTTTCTGTCGAACTTTTGAGCGGCGAAAAATGCCTGTGTTCTGTAAATCGATACCCGCGATAGACAATGGTTGGTATGTCATGAAACGAACAAGTCCACGCCAAATATGTAGCCCCTGTCATTTTGTCAATGATGATACAAGCGCGGTTCTGCGTCTTTGTATGCAATGGGTTCTGATTTTCAAGAGCGTCTTCCGTTCTCCCGGTTTCCCTGAAGACCTGCCCCTGTTGTAACGTTTGTGGCAGTTACGGTTTGCATACAACAAGTTGCAACGTGACGGCGCGATGAAAACTATACTGATTGTGGGGTAATACTGTTTTTCTTTGCATCAGACCTGCCTTAAAATGACGTTAGCAGATTACTCCGTTTTGCGCCACTTGATGTCATCCTCTGTCTCCTTGCCCACATAATATGCAGTGGTTGTGCAATGAACCGGTAAATCAAGTTAGTTGACGGGAAAATCGGAAATAAGCTTATCTGCAACGACGATCGCAACAAGAGGGCTTATCAGAATGGCATGTGTGTCGCTGTTATTGTCTAGTGTTCATTTATTTTTGGAAAAAATTGTTATGCAACGTGTCAGCTCATGCATACATCGGACTCGCCTTCAAATGGGGTGAGCAGATTATGTCGCTTAGCACCTTCTGACTTCATCCTTTACAGCAACGGAACGGTAGGTAAAGTTAGTGATTTAGGGGAAAAGTTAACGAGGTTCAAACCTTTGTGAAAAGGGACAAGTTTTCTTTTGAAGACAAGAATTGTTGAAAATAAGGTCCACATTTATGATATCAGCAGATCAATCCGGATAAAAGTCATTTTCGTCTCATTCCTTCATCCATTTAAGTAACTCAAATTTAGAGGGCTTCTCCTTCAATTATTTGGGTTTTCGGTTTTTCTCATATGATAATATATGCCACGCTGATATCAGCGAAACACCATGAGAATGAGCAATATTCTGGATGAGCGAGATCTAATAGAGATTTACAGTGCTTCCTGGATTCTATTACGGGTAGAATTGTTGATTAATATTCCTGAATCGTGTCGTTGTTTTAGGAATATTCTCAATGGACCTCCGAGTTCACTGGTGCTCATGGTTTTCTCACTTAAAAACTCATGCGGAATTTCACACTGTAGTGTGACAGATGATGCACATACGCGAACCTGTAGCATCCTGACTATTTTTATTATTCTAGACAAGTACGGCTGCAGTGCGGATACCACCGAATCTCACAGCATATATGTCACATCACCTTCTGGGTTGTTTCGCAGTATGGCTTCGAATTTTAAGACGTATTTGGCTCCTCGATCAAAAGCCGTCGTCTCAGAACCATAGGTGATGTAAACTAATGTAGATGAATCCTAAACCGGTCGAGTGTTCGGGTGGCCAAGAGAGATTTTAATCGAGGAAAATGTGATGGTGAGGAAGAGACTTCGAGAAGACTGCACATGTCGGTGTGAATTTCCGTTCAGAATAAAGCAAGTACCTTATCACCACATCATTTAGGCAATCTATCTCGTTGCAATCATCATTCTGCACTTGACCTCAATAAAATAAATTGGGGTAAAATAGATGACGTTTAAGACTGAATATTCAGATTGACTTCCCTCCTCAAACATGGTAAGCAGTTTATAGTTGCTGTTGCTGATTTTCATTTATTCAACAATTATCATATTGGGAGAAGAATAGATACCCGTCCAAAGACAAGCATTTCTCGTATGAAATTAGAGTTCTCATCAGAAAGATGAACTAAAATTTCTCAAATGGATACCACCAAACAGCCCGGTTTCTGGTTGGGAGACAATCACGACCAATCTCCATGTGCACAAACAAATGTCCCCGAAACACCAGCAGAACCGGTTTTACAAAGATTTAGTAATTGACGGTATTTATTTGAAGACTAATAACCTCTCAACCTGATTGTAGTGTCTTTGGATTTTATTGGGACTGACTCAAGAATAAGTCTATTTCTAGAAGCCGCATGATATGGCTGCTAATCCGTCTCATTGGCATTCCCGAAAACAGTTTTCATTTAGATTGGCTGACTGAGTGCCTGGAAGTTTTGACATCATCAAGGGATAGTGGTAAAGCAGAAGTGAATCCCCTTCCTTTGCTTCACAATAAGGCGTACACCTGAAAACTGCTTGCGCGGCAGCGAAGCACCAGCTGCGAGCACTGATGCCACGCAGACGTGGATGATGATCACGACGACGACGACGACGATGATGATGATGATGATGATGATGATGAAGATCCCGGGGATTATATCGATCGTGATGATGATAGTGGTGATGAGGAATGATTGATTCACTTGATTTTCTCAAATTTCTCAGACCAGGGACCCGGAAAACAACATGGCGTTACATACGCAGTAGCCATTATATACTTTCATGCCGGAATTAGAGGAGGAACCATGGACAAAAATAATATTCCAAATTATTAAGTCACCCATTGTTGTTCTAAATGGACCATGTTTGCAGTGTATCACCTGGTCCGGGGTTCAAATGAACCACATTTTATTTATTCAGCATAATCAATGAAGCCTCTTAAGTGCCTTCGGGTTTGAAAAATAGGTCCACGGTCCAAGTCATTTCGGAAGAAGTCTGTGATGTTTTGTACCTTTATTTGGCATTACGTGTTTCATCAATGGAATAACCGTTTGTTTTGTTTGAACAAAAAAACACTTCAAAAAACGCACGTATTTACAATTCCACGCGCACAAATGTCGCCAGGTGCTTTGACTTCCTGTTCTGCTTTCGTTCGCGCTAAAAGCGGCCATTTGCGAATCCCGTGTGCTTATTCTGTCATCTAAACACTTCAGAGTATCCTGGGAATCTGTTATACGTAGGGACAATTTCGGTGAA